TCATATGTGGTGTTGGTATGTGCTGTTAAAACTTGGGAGGGGCATGGTGTCAACAACCAGATAGCAGCTTGTGTCAGCACGGCCCCTCCCGAGAACCCTCAACGTCTACATAAAATTGAGAGGTGAGGTTGAATAAACAGAGTGCCAAGGGCCTATACGTATGTGTCGTGACAATGTAAATAATTTGAGTGTCTAAGTTGTGGAATAAAATTGAGGCACAGGTGGCCAGGAGGGGACGGAGGAGGAATGCCTCCCCTGCACCTCAGTGACGCACCTGTACCTCAAGGCCCTGCATGTGTGGTGGTGTGATGGAGCGGAAGGGGGGAGGCAACTGGGCATGGGAATGAAAGGATTGGCTAGCGGCAGCTCCCCCGCTGACCTCCATGGGCACGCCCGTCCACCAAGGGCAGGGGCCTGGGTCCATTCACACCGGGGCTCACAGCAGCAGCACCTCCAAGCCCCACAGAGCATTTGGCAGCATTACGTGCATTTTTCATAGAATTATGTCTTCATTACTGACTTTCATTCAATATATTGAAAGTTTAGTCCAGTTTCAGTCAGTGTGTTCACAGTACTGTGCAAAAGTTTTCGGAAGGTGTGAAAAAATGCTGTAAACAAAAAATGCTTTCAGAAATATAAATGATTGTTTACTGGCCCCATTCTGCAGCAGGACAAACATACAGCCAAAGTCATTAAGAACTAGCTTCAGCGTAACAAAGAACAAGAAGTACTGGGAGTGATGGTATGGCCCCCACAGAGCCCTAATCTCAACATCATCGAGTGTTGTACATGAAGAGACAGGAAGATGTGAGGATGCCTACATCCACAGAAGATCTGTGGTTAGTTCCCCGAGATGTTTGGGACAACCTACCAGCCAAGTTCCTTCAAAAACTGATGATATTTTAAAGGCAAAGGGTGGTCACACCAAATATTGATGTGATTAAGATTTCTCTTTTGTTCATTTGCTGCATTTTGTTGATTGATGAAAATAAATGGTTAACACTTCCATTTTTGAAAGCACTCTTTGTTTACAGCATTTTTTCCTCACCTGCCTAAAACCTTTGCACAGTACTGTATACTGTTTAATACTTTTTATTTGTTTATCACAGTTTCTCTTTCTTTCTTTTTTTGTACAGAAAATAAAAGTTAAATTGAATGGGGTTGCATATAATTCTATTGTGCTTTTGGCATAATGACAATAAAGATTTTGATTCTGAAAAAAGCTTTTGAAGAGATGGTTAAAGAACATTTTCCCGATGCCACTTTCATACTTGATTCATGCGGGATTAGTCCTGTTAGACTCAAAGCAAATCTCGCCTGGCATGATTACTAACTAACTGTGTGTTTGTGTTACAGGTAGCATACAACAGGCGGTCAGCGGGTCAGCCTCCATCAGCCTGTGCGCTGGAAGTCAGTGTGAAAGGGGTGAAGATGAGTGTCCAGGATCAGTGCCACTCCGCTCACAGGGTACAGCACTATTCTCTCTCTTCACACTTTTCTTTACTCACAGAATAAAAATGGAACTCTGATTTATTGATTTATAGAAGGAAGTTTTAAAATGTATGTATTTTACAATAAAGTAGTATTTGTTTAAACAGAGAGCACATTTGAATATTAGACTACTGTTAAAATGGTGCTAAAACCATTAAAACAAATAGTGTTTAATATGTACAATAAACAAAAATAATAAACAATAATATACCAATGTTAAATCTCGCGACACCGTACGTGACTTAATCTCGCCTGCTTTGGATCGTGGTTTAAGGAAGGCATCCATCTCAGTCAAGTCGAGCAGCCGCCTCTACTTTTTTTCCAACATGCTCTTGAACACCCTTGAACGGCTAAAGAATTGGTGCAGCGTTTCATGATGAGAAGGAAATCCGCATTATTTCTCCAGAATCCAAGGTTTGACTAACGGACCTCTCATTCAATAAATTTCAGTTTTTTTTATTAGCAAATCACAACAGTATTCATTAAAAGTTCCTTTACATTTTAAGGTAAAAATCCTACAATAATAAAGAGACAACCCCAACAATCAGACAGCCCCTTATAAACAAGCACTTGGCAACAGTGGGAAGAAACCTCCAGCAGATCCAGGCTCAGGGAAGGGAGCCATCTGCCATGACCTGTTGGGGTCGAGGGGAGGAAGACAGGAAAGCTTAGACCTTCCTAAAGAGGCTGAGTGGTGTAATCCTATAGTTGGAATAGACGCGTCAGTCCCCCTTCTTGATGATGGGAATTATGAACCCAGTCTTCCAATCCAGAGGCACAACCCCACATCTTGAATGAACATTGCAGAGGTTTGTCAAGCAAAACATCTCTACAGCATCCAGGGTTTTTAGGAACTCAGGGTGAATCTCATCCACCCCTCTGGCCTCTACCAGACTCCTCTACATGCCTTTCGTAAAATAAGAGTCTGGGAACAAGGATTAAGAAGATCCTCAAAGTATTTCTTCTTATACATTTTCTATTCAGCAGCTTTAATTTAGCATTTTCTATTCACGTTTCCCATTTTGCTTTATATGTATTTCCATTTTCCATCCTAATATTTGGTCTCTACGGAGCCGCTCTGATGACATGGTCCAAAAAATAAATAAATTGTGGCCACAAAATACTACTTCGTGGGCACGAAATGGGTATAACGTGCCCACGAAATACTTATTTGTGGCCACGAAATACTATTTCGAGGACACGAAATAGGTATAACGTGCTCACGAAATGCTAATTTGTGGGCACGAAACACTTGACCGATAACCGTGATCCTTCCCAGACCCTTGCAGTTGGTTGACAATAAAATCTATCCCGGCGTCCAGGTCGTACTCACATCTGTAAAGCAACTGGGCTCTCAATAATAATATTTGCTACACTGTCCACTTCCTGCTGTGACAAAACAAATTTCCCACATGTGGGACTAATAAAGGTTATCTTATCTTATCTTATCTAATCTTATCTTAATATCCTGTTTAAATGTCTCTCCGTAATAATGGTTCCTTGCATTGCCAGGCTTTTCAAAATGCATTTGTAGCTCATTCCCAGCCTAAAATAAAAGTCAATCATACTGTCTCTGTCCATGGTGTATAGGTTTACCCTACTCTTATGCTTATGTCTCTACGCAGCTGTCCAGGAATTGTATCAATATGGTGTGCGCACGTTATCTATTTCATTGCCACAAATGCGTAATTCGTGGGCACGTTATACTATTTCAAGGGCACGAAGTAGTATTTTGTGGCCACGATTTATTTAGTTTTTGGACCATGTCATCAGAGGGGCTCCGTAGGTCTCATATCTCTACTTGGATAAATAATTAAAACAAGGATGGATTTTCCTCCTGGGATTTTTTGTTCACCATTTCACATATCGTTAGCTTCATAGCATAAGTGCCTAAGTCATTTTTTTGTGTTTTCGGAAAACAAGAAAAAACTAATTTTCTAAAT